ACAAGTTTATTAAGCAATGGAAAATAAGATGAACCAAGCTATTTACACAACACAATTTGAAAGATTTTGAAAAGCACAGTAATAATACAATCCATCTGTCTCAATGGCATCACTTTACAGTGCTCAAACATCAGAGTTTGGTTCTCTATCTGATCTATCAGTTTAATTTAACTGTTTCCCTCAATTTCTGGACTTGAGAATTTTTTTCTTATTCACTATTGGGATATGGGTGGGCCAGCATTTATTGCCTGTCCCTAGTTGCCCTTGAAGGTGGTGTTGAGCTGCCGCCTTGAACTGCTGCAGTCCTCCTGTTTGTGGGTAGACCCACGATTCCGTGAGGGAGGGAATTCCAAGATTTTGACCCAGCAACAGTGAAGGAATGGCAATTGTATTTCCAATTCAGGATGGTGTGTAGCTTGGCAGGGAGCTTGCAGGGGATGGTGTTCCCATGTATCTGCTGCCCTTGTCCTTCTAGATGGAAGTGGTCGTGGGTTTAGAAGTTGCTGTCTGAGGATCTTTGAATTCTTGCAGTACACCTTGTAGAGAGTACACAGTGCTCCTACTGAGCAGTGGTGGAGGGAGTGGATGGCACCACATCCACAAACAATTAAGCGGGTTACTCTGTCCTGGATGGTGCCAAGGTTCTTGCGTGTTGTTGCGGCTACACCCATCCAGGCAAGTGGGGAACATTCCATCACTTTCCTTGCGTTGTGCCTTGTAGATGGTGGGAACAGGATTTGGTAAGTTACTTGCTGCAGGATTCCTAGCCTCTGACCTGCTCTTGTAGCTGCTGTTCAAATAAAATCTAAGCGTTTTGGTTACTGATGTTTTTCCCTTTTGGGAACGGTCAGGAGTGGAGGCTGAAGGCACTGAGTATCACTGAACAGTTCACTCCCCCACCACCTCCTGCACATCAAGAAGTTTGCCCACTGCAATCCCCTTGAAGGGCAGTTAAGGATGGGTAATAAATGCTAGGAACACCACTGAATGCCTGATGCTTCCTGAGGGCATATGAGAGGATAGCTAGTAAAGATTTATGAGTCTTTAGGGCAGCACAGTGGCTCAACGGTTAACACTATCTCAGCGCCAGTGATCTGGGGTCGATTCCAGCCTCGGGCAACTGTCTGTGGAGTTTGCATGTCGTCCTCCCTGTGTCTGGAGGAGGAGGGAGAGACACACATGGAGTTTCCTGAGCCAGATGTAAACTACAGGTGTAATTCCATGTAATTAGTGTTTTTCCGCGTTTCTTTACCCTTCTCTTTTTGTAAAGACAAGATGACAGTAGAATAGAGAATCCTGATTTGTGATCTTCTTCAGGCCATTGTTGCCTGTTTTTAGCAACAACATTTAATCACAATCTGGAATGACTTCTACAGAAGAAGCATTACTGTTTAATAAATTTAATGCAGGCAGTTAACATTGAGAATTATTTCCTGCTGTCAGCCTGTTTATTCGTGCATTATAAAGTGCAGTAGTTTGTAACAAACTAGAAAAGCATAATATCCAAAATGAACGTCCATATTTTGCTCAACCCACCATACATTTGTAAAGAAAAAGATGTAGCCTAATATTTGACTGGCTGTGATTTTGAATAGACTTGAGCACACACTGAACTGTAGCTGCTCATTCTCAAAATTATAGAATGATACAGGAGGCCATTTGGTTTCTCGGGTCTCTGCTGGTTCTTTGTAGGAGCAACTTAGCCAGTCCCGCTGACTCTCAAAGGTCTGCAGGTTATTCCGCTCAGGTAATATCCTTTTCAGAAAGTTCCCATTTAATCTGCCCCCACCTCCCTCTTGAGGCATTGCATTCGAGACCCTCACCACTCTGCCAGGGGAGTGGGTGGGGGAAGGTTCTTCCATTGTGTTACTGACTGTTCCTCTGCCACTCTGCTTTTATATCAATGTCAGCTGGAACTCTACCCTTTTCCATTAATGGGATCTGTGCCCTCACCCTCGCCTGTGTTATAATCTTTCCACATTTACCCTGTCACGCACTCTCTCTAAGAAACAATCAAGTCACCTTTCATTCTAGTTAATTCCAATGAGTACAGGCCCAACCTACTCGACCTCTCGAATAAACCTTCTCTGTTTTGTCTCCGGTGCCAGGATATTTTCTCTTGGAATCAAAACTGTTCCCAGTATTCCAGCTGTGGTCTGACTAGTGACTTGAATAATTTTAGTGAGACCTCCCTACTGTTATACCCTACTCCCCTTTTTGAAATGTCAGCATTCCTTTTGGGAACAATTGCCCACTGAACTTGGATATGCTAGCGTTTTGTGATTCATGCCACAAAAGCTCCCAAATCTGTGCTGTAGCTTTCTGCAGTCTTTTTCCATTTATCCATGAATTTTACAAAGATACATAGAAAATACATGTAGGCCATTCAGCCCTTTTTTGAGCCTGCTCCATCATTCATGACTGTGTGTGTTCCCGTTTTCTCCTTTTTGCCATAAGAACTAATATCTAACTCATGGAAATCATACAGCTTTTGGCCTCAACTGCTTTCCATGTCAGAATTCCACAGGCTCATTGCTGTCTGGGTGAAGACATTTCTTTCCATCTCTCAGTCCTAAAATGGCCTACCCCATATCCTTTAGACTGAATTTTTTTTTTTTTTTTTTCTGAACTCTCCTATCTAGTCCTGTTAGAACTTGAGACTAGTGCCCACCCCCCAAATTCTTCCAGGTGTGTGTGTGTGTGTGTGTGTGTGTGTGTGTGTGTTGTCTTCAGACAACGCAAAATTCTCAAACTTGGTACATAAGTTGACATCAATAAAGAGAAGGAAATAATATTTGGGCGGAAACCTTGATCAGAATCTGGAGCTTATTTTTAGCTTCCTTTTTTAAAAGGACATGCAAGCGTTGCAGGTGAGGATAGAATTTGTGACTCACCCATAATTACCACCAACTTTGAACTACTGTAGTCCACGTTTTTGTGGATAGACCCACAATGCTGTTAGGGAGTTCCAGGATTTTGACCCAGTGACACTGAAGGAACTGCGATATGTTTCCAAGTCAGGATGGTAAGTGGCTTGAGGACATCACCATCAGCCAGTTCCCCTCTGTGTATCTGCCTATGTCCCTCTTTTTAGATATGCTAGCAGTTGAGGATTTGGAAGGTCTCTTGTGGACTGGAGTTTGTTCTCAGCCTTTGAAAAGTTGTGACTGGTGTTGGATGTGTCTCCTGCGCAGTGCAAAAACAGGATTGAAGTGAAGTAAATTTTTCTATTTACTGAATCATTTTGGATTGTGGTGGATAAGGAACTATTTGCACAAATGTGACTATGGGAAATAGTTTAAAGTAGATCAGGGCTCCATTGCGGTGGTGGGGGGGGAGCAATTGGGAGGAGTTTCTAACGAGCAGGTGAACTGAACACCCTGATTTATCTTGTGTTGCAAGCTGTGTATAATGGCCCTTGTCAGGCAGTATTGGGAGTCTGAAAAGGGGGCAGGTTCTTGTCTCTCGGCAAGGCCTGTACCATCCTATTCAGTGTCTCTCTAGTAAATTCGGGTTAACGAGTTCATCCCTTGAACAGGTCTTTGTTATTGAGATTTTCTGGACAATTTTGTACCAGGGCCCAATTGAAAGTGTCTGCTCAAGTAAATCCAGCCCTGCTTGACATTTGAAGTGCCATTGCTGTGCATTATGTACGTCTTAATTAAATGGCAATGAGAAACTGAGTAAAAACTGAGTAAATGCTGTCAGACCAGAGGAGCTCCATTGATATTCAACTCATGAATGCAGCCTCTGTTTGGGGATCTCCTCTTGCTCCAGCTGATGTCGAGCAGATTCCTGGCAAGACTGAATCTCTAACTGTTTTATTTTAGCAAGAGATTCTGTAGAGTTGGTGCACAGTCAGTTTACTGCACAACAGATCTTAAGACCTGCATTAAATAGTACATATCACCACTGCACACCACCCCCCCCCCCCCACCCCGCACCGCCTCCCTCCCAATGGTATAAAGTGCTTTGGGGTGTCAGTGGGCTTTTTATTTGAAGTATAGCATTGAAGGGAACGCAGCAGTCTAATTAAGCACAACAAGCTCCCATTGTGATAACAACCTGGGAAATCTGTAGTTTCAGGAATAAACATCGGCCAGGAGACAGCAAAAGCCTCAGAGTAGGAACTGCCAATGCTGGAGTCAGAGATAACAGTGTGGAGCTGGAGGAACACAGCAGGCCAGGCAGCATCAGAGGAGCAGGAAAGCTGACGTTTTGGGTCTGGACCCTTCTTTTCTGCTTTCCTGCTCCTCTGCTGTCTGGCCTGATTGTTGGAATAAGGAGATAAGATCGTTTGCACCAATCTATATTAGAAATCACACGACACCAGGTTTATCTGAAAAACACAAGCTTTCCGAGCCTCACTCCTTTTCAGATGTCATAATGCATGTTAGGTGTGAGGCCTTGCTTAGAATCTATTTTGTAGTCATCACCTCAATGACACCTGAAGGAGGAGTGAGGCTCTGAAAGCTTGTGTTTTCGAATAAATCTGTTGTACTGTGACCTGGTGTTGTGAGTTCTGACCTTATCCACCCTAGTTCAACACCTGCACCTCCACGTCCCCATCTGTTAATGCAGATTGGTCCTTTTTTTGAATTGCCTGGGAGCTTCAGGAGCCAATAGTTTCCTGTTGCTTTCTACATGACAGCATTTTGGCCAATCAGTTGCCTCACTGATCAATTGGTGCACTCTCTTGTTCTCCTGCAGTAGAAATTGTAACGGTTTGAGATTTGGCACTCTTGCATTTTGTCCTGATGAGTTTTTAAGATGAAAAGTTTCAGCATCATACCTATCTTTGGTAATAGTCCAGTTAATTCTAATGCTGAGATGGATGGATTTTTGTTAACGAGTGGGATATTAGGAAAAAATAGACATTTGGAAGTTCATGGATCAACTGATTCACTAAACATCAAAACAAGGTCAAGGGGCAGAATGGCCTTTTTTCTTTTCTCTCACTACATTCCTGTTGTGTTTATCTCTTTCCTTTTCTCCTTCAGCAGGCTCTGACACCAGCGGATGGATGGTGTTGAGATTTAAGGTGGAATAATGGTGATTCTACAACAGGTGAGATTATCTGCAGCCAGATTTCACAGCCAATATCGGGGAGCCTTTCTCTACAAAAGGGTACAGGAAATTTGCGACACTACCTCCCAAACTCCTCCAGGTCACTTGTAAATTTCCACCCTTGAAATTGAGTTGAAATGAAGGTAGTTGATGCAGCTAAATTGCAGATCAGCCAAATTCTAGTTGACCAGGAAGAATATTGGCTTGAGGGGCTGATTGGCCTATTGTTGGTGCCGTATTTCTCAAACCATGCACACCACCTGCTTGCTTTCAAAAGGAAAGTGAATCATACTGTGTGGGTTGGAACTTTCTTTAAAGGCCATATGCAAGAAGAATTTGGATTTTCGATGGGGTTAAAAGCTGCCTTATATTCTGATAGAGATAGTAGGAACTGCCGATGCTGGAGAATCTGAGACAACAAAGGTGTCGAGCTGGATGAACACAGCAGGCCAAGCAGCATCAGAGGAGCAGGAAAGCT